CCACAATGGGCTTGCTAAAAGAAAGGCCCTCTTAGTGGCCACATCGCGGAAAGAGTTTTTAAAAAAAGGAGGAAAGTAAACAAAATCAATTTTGGCATTTGAAACGATATATAACCTGAAATTTCAGGTTATTATGTAGATTTTAACGTAGAACTTTTTTTGTTATATAAATTATAATCAAATGTCCGCTTTCGGTGCTTCATACAGCAATTTTTGGTTGCAATTTGTGTTGAAATTTCTACTTTGGGCTGGCAACACTTAGCATGCCGTCGTCTTATACAGAGAGCGTGCGATGCTGAAGTAGAGTACTGTACTTCGCGTTTAAATTTTTTACATTTAATGCTTAAAAATGAATATTCGAGCATTTTCTACTTGTATAAGATTATCAAACATTAAATCAAACACAATTGTTCAGGTAAATGAGTCATTTAGTTAATAATCAATTCTATTAACCCAATGGTTCCCAATTGGAACGTGTACCCCTGGAGGTACGCGCGGCAATCTAAAATTTAAATGCATGAGATGCATAAGATGTAGCAATCAAAAAAATAATGGGTTGACCATAAAAAATTCGGCAATTTACAACATGATGTCGAATGCACAAATTCGTTTATTTATAACTAAAAATATTCTCGAAATTTCATAAAAAAAATGCATTTGTGATAATACCTAAATGAAATTCTTACGCAAGAAACAAAAATTGTACAATTAACAAATTGTGTTAACTGTACAATTATCATTATTATCATGTCAGCAAAGCAACAATAAAATATTTACTACCATTTTGCACAACATACCTCTGCGATAATGGATTTTCAGCCATGACAAACATGAAAACTAAACATCGTCGCCAACTTCAACTCGAAGATGACTTGAGACTGAAGCTGACCAAAAAGCAACCAGATTTTACAAAGCTGTGCAAAGAAAATTGTGCACATTTGCAGTGGTGATATTCAAAATATTTAACAAAGGGTTTGCTAACAGAAAATTTTTCCATAACAATTTTTTTCTCAAGTTCACTGCGTGAGCACAGTCAACTTGAGAAGAACCTGGATATTACACGCAATGATAAAACTGACATAACTGCGCAGTAAGTCACGAACACCAACAAACAAAATGAAAGTTTTGGTTAGAAATAAATACAATACAGTAGATCCCCCTATAAGACGGTAGATACGTTCCGTTCTTTATGAATCAATTTTGTAGGAATCATAGTTTACGGACTACGGCTGTTTGAAAGGTTTTCTTTCATAAAATTAATCGATTCTAGACTAATTCGACTCAACATTTCCAAAATACGTATATTTTTTTG